ATAGCCAATCGCAAGCGCTCAAAACTCGGCCACTACCCAATCAACTGACAGACTGACATTAGCGTGGCGTCCATCCGCTCACGCCCACGACACAGTAGCGGCCAGATGTGTGCAGGCCCAGAGTCGCTTGGCATTAAAGGGTTCCAATAACCTTTGACTTCTTCTGGCGTCTTTCCCCTTCATCTTTAAAGGAGAAGCGACTAGGCAGCGATTATTGTTGCGCTCTGAATATATTCACGACGTAGATGCCACAACCCTACCGGAGGAAAAAGTTCGAGATTACTGAATGCTTGCCTTTATTCAGTCCTCTGCAAGTACTTGAGATCGTAGCTCCAAAGTGAAAAGGAACATCCACACTCAGTACTGAGCTAAGGACATGTCCACGGACGACGCTGAAGCAACAGCTTTAGAGATAACTCAGAAAAGACAGATTATAAAAGTGGCTTTGGTGAAGATGGTGAAGGATTATGCAGGGGAGGCACTAACCCGCAACTTGCGGCTTCCACGATTGCAATGCAGAAGGACTCGGTCAGAGAGGTATTTAGGAAAATATCGCCTTTAACGAGGACCTAGGAATAAAATAAACGACTGCTCTAGTAGCTAAAATGAGAGATGATGACAACATATAGAAGGAGACAGGTGGCATTGTAAGTAAAGGATCCTACCACAGAAGTGCAAACCAACGAAAAAATGTGCCAGAATGTGAAACTGTCAGCTGGCAACTCACATCACGAACTTTGTGGTGTGGAAGAGAGCCCAGGAGTTGAACCCGTGAATGCAACTTGTGCCTTTCAAGCATTTCCTCAAGAACCAGACGTTTTGGACCGTCGCCACCTACACAATAAAGCCAAATGCATCGTGCAGCCTGGGCGCAATGTCATTTTCAGATGGACACTGACAAGGTCTTCCACAAAAAGGATAAGGATAAGTGCGGACCGTTTTCACACTTGGTATGAACAGTCGCATATATCTGTGTACAAGGTAGCGAAATACGTTCGTTTAT